GGGTGGGCTTGGGTTCTGAGGTTGCATTTTGTTCCTTCTCGTCATTTTGTGTAGCACTGTCTTCTGCCCTTTGTTGTAGATCTTTGCTGTAGTTATAACCTTCACACGTACTGAAGTTGGAGCTCTACAAAGTTTGGAGTTATCCAGCTGCGTCTGGCTTAGGTCTGGCTGCTGTGCTCAGCTCCTTCCCGCTGCGGGCCTGGGCTAGGATTGGGTTTGGGGGTTCCCGGAACTCGGCAGAAATTCCTACTTGGCGGGAGAGGTGGGGCGGGTAAGTTGGAGTGGTGGGGGCGGCCCGAGGGGGCGGGAGAGGGTCCGGCCCATGCTGCGCCTGGGCTGGGACTGGTCCCGCCGGCGCAGGGTAGCCGGAAGCTCTCCACACACTCACTGGACCTGGGCTAGGACTGGGTCTGGGCCAACCTAGTTTTAATATTGAATCTATACCTGACCATTTTGTAGCATTTTCACTAGTCAAATATGTCTTTACTTTCTTGTTTTCTTCCTCATCTGAACCCAGGACTTTATTCTGTACTTCTCCAGCTGTCATATCTTGCTCCAGCTCACTCTCAAAGCTTCTTTGGCTTACATGATCTGTGTTATCATCGGTAGCCAAATCACCAGATCACTCACTTTCAGCCTCCTCCCAAAATTGTAAGAGCAGATTATACTGAAAATGAGTAAATAGCAACCAGCTTCAGATTGTTTTCTTCTTTGGTAGGTCTTTTTCTCATCATAACCTAGGTAGTTGTGAAACCTAATCTCTTGAGTGCCATTGTTTTCAAAATCTCAGTGCCACATCTGACACTTACTTCTCCATCAGTCTTTGGGATTTTGACCATTAGAATAATAAAGTCTTGCTATGAAGGGTTTTGGTTCACAATATACTGAATTGGTCTAACTCTACAAAAGAAATCAAAACATTTACTAAAACAAATTATAAATACACAAAAATGTAGCACGGCATGTAAGGTGGGCAAAACTCACCTGGGTATACTTGAACACACATTCGCATACCTTGCTGTTTGTCTGCCAAGTGGGTGAACACAAATGTTGCTTCCTGTATTTCTCCAGTGTAGTTACTGAGACACAGCCAGCGGCTCTTATGCTGAAGTAAATATTTTCCCGAACCTGTCCTCAAATTTATGATTCTCCTGCTTCAGTCTCTTCTTGTACAAGAAGATACTATGGCATGCAGCTTGTATCGCAGTATTTTTGATCTCTATCATTTATTTTTTTCTTGGAATTTTCACATCTCTGCTTAAATTGCCCTTTTGTCCTCTCCTGCCCTCTGTGTTATTCACTAGTTAGTATTCTGGTCATTATTTCACTTGGTTTGTATGCTTCTAAATAATACAACATGAATAAAGTAGAAAGGCATTTCCCATAGTATGGAGACTTAGAAGTTGGGGATCAAGACCCTGTCATGTGGTACCCGTGAAAGTTGTCTTGCTGTGTCCTCACATGGCAGGAGAGTAAAAAAATGAGCACTTAACCTTGTGTCCTGTTTTGCAGCAGTGTTAATCCATTTGTAAGGTCCTCCCATTAGGATCTACTGCCAAACACTTTGGAAGTGAATTTCCAAGGTTAGAGTTGAGGAGCCGACGAAAGCAGTCAGACCATAGCCACTCAGTAGCTTTAATTTTCTAGTGTGGCAATTCCAACCTCCTTACCATGTCTGAATTTCCTCCTGATGCTCTATCTATTAAGATTATTTTGTTTCCCTTTAGTGTATCTTGTAATTTTTTTCTGATAGATAGCCCTGAAGTGTAGGGTAAGAAGAAGTACTGCAACTCTGCCTTCACTCGTATTGCAAGAAGACAACTATTCGCTAATTCTGGAATTGGGTCTCAGTCTTTCAGTGAGCCTGTCTCTCTGAATTGTGAGCCTCAAATATCGCAGTCCCCTCTTAGGTGGGGCAAGAAGACTGGTGTTGCAATTTAGATCTAAAATGTCTCCTGAAAGTCTCATGTGTGCAGAGATTTCAGAAGGTGGGCATTCAGAAGGTGACTCGGTGGTGGGGCACTGTGCTCATCAGTGGATTAACTGTTGGCGGGTTCATAGCTGAGTACACTGTGAGGTGGTGGGGCTAGGTGGGCAGGTAGAGCATGCAGGGCAAGACCTGGAAGAGTGTGTTCTTGTTCCTGGCTCCCTCCTTCCCTTGATCTGTTTCCTGGCTAGCGTGGGCTGGGCAGCTTTCCTCTGTCATGGCCTTCTATGCCGTTTGGGGCCAGACAGCTATGGACTGACCTCTGAGATTATAAACCAAAGTAAGCCCATCCTTATTGAAATGGCAGGCATTGGGTATTTTCTTCTAGTGATGGTAAAGTGGCTGATGCACCTGGTATAGGGTAGAAGCTGTGCATGATACTACATTCCTACTTGAAGAGGAAGGGGGGGGGCCTGAAATTGAAGCACCACGTTCAGGGCAATAGGACTCTGACAAAACGCCAGCAGTTTTAAATAGTTTCTCCTCAAGGAAGATCTGGTTAAGAAAAATGCAGTTGCATAGAGTGTTCTGGAGGATTTCAAAATAGTTACTTTTTCTCTCTTTTTTCTCAGAATCCCAGGGAGGCTTTTCTGTCCATTATTTACCATAATAACCTAGTAGAACTCTGGTTATACAAAAGAATCTCCCAACCCCACCGTGACTGGCTTCTTCTGGAGTTTTTAATTCTTGGACTCCCACACACAGGTCTCCATCAACGGATCAGTTGCAGTTCAGGTTTTCCTGCTCCTGGCTCTGGTTCCTTCAGAAGCCTCTGCTGTGCTGAGTTGGATCTACCTGCCTGTCATTCCGATTTTAGCGGCAGCAGTTTGCCTATGACCTCATTCTCATGGCTTTAATAAAAGTTGTTGTTTTTTCAACTGGTAAGGTGTGTTGGCTGCCTTTCTCTCCTGCCTGAGATGCAATACACAATACCTAAAGCTAAGGAGGGAAAGGCATATTTAGCTCAGGTTTGTTGTTTCAGTCTGTCGTCACCTGGCTTCAAGGCAGGGCAGTTTCACAGAGGAGAGCAGTTCGTGGTAGGCAGAAGACAGCAAAAGCAACAAGCCAGAGAGGAGGGAGAAGCAAGCCTTTCTGCCCCTTTTATCTTCTCCAGACTGCTGGAACTAGGGCAGTGCCAATCCAGTTAGTGGTCTCATCCAGCAATCACCCAGCCTTAGTCCCAGGCCCTTAGTCCGTGCATTGAACCATGAATCAATTGCAAACTCTAAATTCAGCCACCTCCAAAAAAGCCCCATCACAAAGTGCCTGAAGATTTGGGGAAACATCCAGACACAAATCATAACAGCTTTTTAGCTTTTTTTTTTTTTTTTTTTTTCTTATTAGGATAGAGGGACAACTTCCAAACTAAATACCAGACTAGAAACCAGAAATCTACAAATGTCTTTTGTCAGTCTATACAAGAGAACCCAAAGACAAAATGAAAGCATTTAGGGACTTGCATAGCAATTTAACTAGTATGGTGAGAAGGATATAATTTTGTATCATGCAAAAATCTCTGCAGTTGCTGCAATTTGGATCTAAATGCCCCCCAAAGGCCTATGTGTTGAAGGCTTTGCCTCTAAGGTGGTGCTACGGGAAGGCGGTACCACGTTTGGCATATGGCTTTAGTGGGAAGCTCTTAGATCAGTGGGCAGGGCATGTCTTCTCAGTAAGGATTGAGACCCTGGTCTCTTCCTCTTTCCTTTTATTCCCTGACTTGTAATATAAGTCCCTTGGCTTTGCCATGCTGTCTGGCCAAGATGTGCTGCCCCACCCTGGGCCCAAAGCAGTGAGATCAACCAATCACATACTGCAATCTCTAAAACTATGAGCTGAAGTAAAGCTTCTCTTCTCATAAGTTAATTATCTCAGGTATTTTGTTTTAGTAAGAGCAGTTAATTAATACAACAGCAGATTAGAAATTAGAAATGGAACAAAGCACTCACCACTAACAGTTCAGTTGTTTTTCACAGCAGATAGAAGCAGGATGGGACCCCAAGGCAGTCAAGAAAATGGTAAGTTGATGATTCGGGATGGATCTCCTTCATGCAGTTGTCTAGAATGTGCCCTAGGACCCAGGGAAATGTCTGGGGTGTATTTGGAAGGAAACTAGGAGTCCTGGAGTAGATAGAGCGGGGTAGGCACAAATGTCTCCCACTTCCCATTGCCTCACCTTTGCTAAGATGAGATCTGATTGTGTCAGGCCTTCAGCTACATCCTCCAGAAGGATCCTCCTCCTGCCTACTAGCACTTCTCATTTTCTCAGGACCATTCACAAGATCACCCCTGGACTGGTGGACTCACCAGTTTCCCCCCATGACCTCAGTCTGGACAACCTTCTCTTTCTTCCTAGTGATATGCTTCTACCCTCACACCTGTGCTTTTCCTGCTTCTTACTTTTGCTTGGCAAGATCTCACATAACTTGTAACATCTTCCTTCGCTTTTGTTTATTGTTTGTTTTTGCTCCTGAGCATGGAACTCAAAGCCTCACACATGTGCCTCTGAGCTATATCCTAGCCAACATGTTTCTTTTTGAGATTTCCTACACTTGAAGCCAAAGGCTAGGCCCTGCTGCTCAATCAATGTTATGTAAGGAGAACATAAGAAAGGGAATTTATAAACTAAGCCACATCTATGGTAATTTCACTGTATTGCATCCTCATTGGTCATTTCAGAACTGAAAAGAAGAATGTGTCTAAAACCTTATCTTAGTTACTTTTGCTCATTGCTGGGACGAGATATCCAAGAACAACAATTTAAAGGAGGAGAAGTTTATTTTGGTCATCTGTTTAGTACGTGGTAGGCCAACTTCAGGAGGGGATGGTAGAAGGGCTTCAGCAGAGAGCTGCTCCAGCATGGCAACCAGGAAGCAGGAAGAGAATCAAAGGAGGAGCCTTGAACGGGGCTATAGCCTTATAGGCTGAGCCCCCAGTGGTCCACTTCTTCCAACCAGTCCCCATCTACTAACGAATGTCAGCTAGAAGCCCCCTAATCAAGTCAGCTCCCAAAAGCCACAGCTGTGATCACATGACACCTTGATGGGACATCTAGATATTAAATATAACAAACCTTTAGACAGGAATCAATATCAAATAAAGCACAGTCTGGCATCTCAAGTGAGTCTTGGGTATGGCTGGGTGTCTTAGTTACTTTCTGGTCATGGAGACTCAATACTGGGCACCCACAACTTAAAGGAGTGAATCCTCACATTTTATAGAGGTTTCAGCCCATAAACCAATGGCTGTGTTGCAGGACAGCAGTGGTAGAGAGGCACAGCAGAGGAACAGCCACTCAAGGCAACCTGGAGGCACAGCCAAGTGAGCAGCGAGGAGGGGAGCTACAGCCTTCCAGGCCTCATGTACAGCGAGCTGCCTGCGCTGCCTGGGCTCTGCCTCCCACCATCACATTTAGCCATCAGCTCATCAGAGGAGTCTTCCACTGATCATCATTTCGCCCGAAGACCAGATGCCTCCCCAAAGCTCTGCATAGGAGCATGGGGGATTTGGAGGGACAGCTAGCTATAAACTGTAACCATGGGTATTGATAAGGAAGAGGCTTATTAAAGTAGGGCACAAGGAAGTAGCTTTTCAGGATGGAGGAGACTTGTTGAGACACATCCATGCTCTTCTCAGGCAGAGATGCTCTGCGGAAGGGCTTGGCCAGCTTTTCTTTTCTTTTTTTTTTAAATTTTATTAAGAAACAAATACCAATGAGACAGTTTCAAAACTGATTGATAGGACAGTTTCAATAATTAATACATTATACATTGTTATCTTCTTAGTGGTTATCCATAGTACAAGATGCAGACAGAATATCCTGTCCAAACACCATTAGTACAAATCTTTCTTCTCATTGAATTAAGCGAAAGTAGCTGTATATCTGTCCTAACTATTCTGCGTATACAGATACAAAATGGTCCTTCTTTTGTATCGCCTTTTTTTGTTTAGTCCTGTCAGAAGTGGGTCAGCTTTTTCTATAAAGATCCATACAATGAACATTTTGGGTTCCTGTCTTAGTTACTCTTCTCTTGTTGTGGGGACAAATACCCAACACTCAAACTTAGGGAAGGAAAGGCTTATTTAGCTCACAGATACTAGAGGTTTCATAGTTTAAACCAGCCTGAATTACATAGCAAGATCTCAGAGCCTTATTTGCTCAGGAGAGAGTAGGTCAGTGCCTCTGTCTTCTCTAAACACTTCCTCCCTGCCCAAGGCGGCCTCAATTGCAAACACTGCTGCCCCACTCTAGGATCTGGAGGAGAGGCTGGGGCGCCGCCATATCCAGGATGACTCTCCATACCTCCAACAGAGGCTGCTGGCCTGGGGGTGGGGACAGCACATGCTGTCAGTTTAAGGATGAGAGCCTCTCTGGCCCCACTCCTCAATCTCTGCCCTGGTCCTCTGGCCCCACCTCTTAAGCCACTCACTGCTCCTCCAGCTGCATCTGCCCCATGACCTACGTGAGGCTTCGGGGGAACAACTAGACAGAAACTGTAACAGTTCCTTTCCAGGTAATCTCTCCTGTGACTGCTTTGTCATTGTAGTACAAAAGCAGCCATAGACAAAGGGATGTGACTTTGTTCTAGTGACACTTTTACAAAATTGTTCCAGTAGCATTTGCAAAACAATCTGTAGACTGGATTCTAAGGGAGGGAGAATATCCCCTCTCTCTGCCCTGCCTCCTAACAGCTTGTTAGAGATCTCACTGGGTTTACCATTACAGTTCTTAAGCCCGCAGATCCTTACCCCCTCAAAATAACATACGCAGTGATGAATCTGTGCATACTCGTTAGTTGCGAAGGTCTAGGATGTCCTTTGGTGGTGGAGCAGGCGTTGTGTAGACCTTCCTGTGGCCTCTGCCTACAAGATCTTTAGCGCAGGTTAAGAAGAGTTAATGATACTGCTGATCTGTCATCTTTTTAAATCTAGCATCCAGACAGAAAAATTGTAAGCTACATTTTAGCTCAACAATAATTTATTAAGCACTCACACCTTTACTATGTAAAAGCTGAATCAAAATGGTATAGTGTCAGCTTCCCATTGCTGAGACAAAAATACCTGACACACAACCTAAAGGAAAGGAGGTTTATTTTTGGCTTATAGTTGTAGGAGTTTTAGTCTGTGGTCAGCTAAGTCCAACACAAAAACAGTGTGGCAACAAGGTGTATTGGAACAAAGCTGCTCAATGCGTGGTACCCAGCAAAAAGGAGGAAGGACAGGCCTCCAGGTCGTGTGCCCGTGACCCTCTTCCTCCAACAGGCCCTAACTCTGAGCAGCTCCTTCAGCTGTGGCTTTGTCAGTGGGTTAACCCATCGCTGAGGTTAGTGCCTTCCCAGTTCAGCCCCTTCGCCGTGAGTCTCAATCCAGTCAGCAGAGATGAAGCATCGCAAGGGACAGGGCATATTTCAGTTGGTCATCACAGAGATGCGTGAACAAAGTTTGTTTTTCTGCAGCTTTTTCTCATGAGTGTAACATGTATAAGTTCACAACCTCTCTTCTCACCATTTATCTTGGGACATTTAGTTTTTTATTTTGAAAGACCATTTTGAATAAATTTATTGTCAATTTTAGAGAGAACTGGCTTATTTTAGTTCATTCTAATGTTATGTACTTTTATGCTTGAGTTATTTACTATGAGTTTAGTTATTGGCCTATTTTATTTGTCATTTTATAGCACACATATTTTCAGTGGAGACTCTTAGGCTAAGCTATATTTATTTATACCACTGCACATTAACCATAAAACTATCTTAACTGCAGTAAAACCACTATAATGCGGAACCCCTGGGGAGTGGGTTATTCAAGATAGCCAAGTTTGAAGAATTACCATTAACTATTTGTGTCAGAAATCTTTCTATGCATGTTCGCTTCTTAACCTGGAAACAATAGAGGCCGCCTTATTTAGCCGTGACAGTGACTTGTGGTCATCAGTAAGCTGTGTTGCGTGACTCAGTTCTCATTAGGTGACTTAGGTGTTTTAGTGACTTGTTGTTAGTAAGTTGTTTTGACTCTCACTGGCAAGGCTTACACTACTTCTGTGATTCTGGTTGCTGTCAGCTGTATCTTTCACCGGCCTCATCTCTACGTGTCCTTCTGATTTGTAGGTCCCTGCTGTTAAGCATCTGTGGACTTGGAGATGAGTGGCAGAGCTTGTTAGAATACTGCCAGAGTGTAGAGGCTTCCCCAGGCCTCCGACAGCCAGGCTCTGCAGTATGTGTTTGCTTGCATGCTGTTCTGGTCCTGCTTTAGAGTCTTAGCCACCAGCAAGTGAGTTTTAACCGTGGGCACTGAGAGTGAGGAGATATCTCTCCTGGCTCCTTCTTCTCCACCCAGAGCTCTGCAAAGGCTGCTTCCAGCCAGGTCAGGGAAGCTCAGGGGCCTGAGTCACAGACCCAAGGGAACTGGTTTAACACAACATGGAATAAAAACCTAGTTTAAAATAGGCTTCATTTTAAGTTTACAAGCTTTTTTATTGCTATATAATACTATCCTGCTAAACTTCCCTTTCCTCTCACTTGTAGTACTGGGGATCACACCTTGGGTCGCACACATAAAGGCAAGCACAAAGCTACCCACAGCCCATCCCATCCCTTCTCTTCTTTATCCTATTGTTTATAAACCCTCAATATGTATTCTGTTGGCTTGTACTTCACTGGTACTAAAGCTAAACTTCATTCAAATGAATAAAGTATCTCCGAGTAACATTACAGAGTCCATAATAATTGTAGTTTTTCTTTTTGTCTTGCACATTATTTTTGATGCATTATGTTACAGCTTGTATCTAGATGTCTCCCCAAAGCCTCATGCAGTTATGGGCAGGGCTTTTTCAAAGATGGCTGGATCTAGAATGTATGACACTGGGAGAGAGAGCTGTGCTACTTCCTGGTTGCTTTGCTACCTTCCACTTGCCATGGACTATTCCTCCTCTGCAATGTTATCCTGCCTTGGAACCAGCCAGTTATGGACGATACCAAATAAACCTTTCCTCCTTTGATTTTGGATGTCAGGTATTTTGTCTCAGCAACAAGAAAAATAACTAAGACATATTACACACAGTGGTTTATTGTACCTGGGTTCTTAGCACAGTTAACAATGAAACATGCTTTGTTGAAAGTGCCAGATGGTGAACCTTGCACCCAAGCTTTGGAGTCTTGCACACTGTGTTACACCTTCTCAGCTGTCTTTTATCTTTTCTCCTCAGGGCTTCAGAACAATGCAGAGATTGTATTTTCCCTTGTGTCATAGCCAGGAAGGCAGAGGTACAGTAGTAGAGAGTGACTCACCCCAGGTCACCCCACTGTTGGCACTCGCAGATTTGAGCCAACACCCTCTGCTTCCAGTGCCAGTGGGTTTTCCCACTAGTTCTGGTACTTATCTTGTGAGTGATAATAGTTCAGGCTGAATAGACTGGGGTCACCAAACTCTGAGTACATGGAGGTTCGGGTCATAGGGAGGGGAACTTGATTACAGGACACATGACCCTGAGGGAGGACAGGCTCATCTGTCATCCTCCTATGGATGCCTGATAGGGCTGAGGCTGCCCATTGGGTATTCAACAACCAACGCCAGCTGGCCAGGTGGGTGCAAAAATTGGGGTTTATTGGCACTAAATATAGCAGCCTTAACCTTCTAATGTTTTTAGTGAACTAGATATTATTTTGCTTATCTGTGTTTTGGTCACAAGTAAGTAGTTAGCTAATAAAAATATTTTCAAATCTAGGTACATAAGTCTTTGAGAATAAATTCTGATCTATTTTTAATACAGTGTCTGTACCACTTATTTTGAAAAGGCAAATTCTTTTGCTTTTAGATTTTAAAATATAGCTGTTTTTTCAGTTTGAAAAATAGTCTTTGTTAGGGCCTGCCAGATAGCTTAGCAGATTAAGGCACCTGCTTAGGCAATCCCCAACATGCCATGCTGTCCCCAGGGATTGTGACTGGGCATGGTGGTGCATGTCTATAATTCTGGTGGTTGGGAGGCTGAAAACAGTAGAATCACTATGAGTCCAAGCTGTGTAGTGTGACCCTGTAGACCCTATACTAAATAATTTTTTTTAAAAAAGAGAGAAATACAAAAACAATCTTTGTCAAAAGTAATTGGTGTATTACTTACAAATTCTATATCTTACTTTTTTAAGACTTGTTAATCCTCCCTATCACCAAAAAAAGAGTTAATGTCACGATGTATTTATCCAGCATTTTTGATGATCTAATAAGATGTTACATCTCATATAAATTACCATTTAAATAATTATTCAACAAATATATATTTTTATTTATATGTGATTGTGTGTATTTGCTGGGGGACCTCAGATTACTTTGTGAAAAGTCAGCTCAACCTCAGAATTCTAAAATGTCCTCATTATCCTCCTTAGTTTTAAAAGAAAATCAGAAATTTAGGCTGATCTACTTACATTAAATGACTGGTGCTGCTAAGTTAATCCTGTAATTAGATTCATTTCTCAAAGATGTTACTGTAATCTTAGAAATATTAAAGATTTAAACTCTAAAGATTGGTATGGAAATGATTAAATTTTGCCTATTATTTTCCCCTCTCTCCCAGAGTGATTGATTTCACTCTCCGTGCCTTACGCCATGACCCATAATGCTTCTGCTGAGACTCCTCATTCAGCAAAACCTGTTTAGGGGATCATCTCTGTTAGACAGACAGCTGCCCAGAAGACGTTCCCTGCGAGTGTGGATTTTAGATTACGGCCATTTAACACTGAGAACCGGAAGAACACCTGTCATAGACGTTTTTCTACAAAAAGATGGTCTCTTTAATCACATTTCATTCTCCTTCAGGAAAACGTTCATTTTAAAATGTGGCATCTGCTTCTTTGATTCATTGTTTTCAGCTGAAACACTAATTTGGAGCTGATTTATGGCGTCTTTCTATGCTGAAATGAGAAACTGCAGCTAAGACTTTAAGAAGGAAGGACTTTCCCAGGCATTTCGTTTGTGGCTTTCTCTTTTACAAAAAAGGGGAAAAAAATCTCAAAATTTATTTTTGAGCCTTTCTGTGTGACTTTAATTAATGACAGGGGTTCTTTCAAGCAAACTCTGAAAATATGAAAACTAAATTGTGAAAACATGTCGTGGAATCTGGGGAACTTCCCCATGTTGAAATTTGTTACATTTGTCTGTGAACATTGCAAAGTATCATTGATGCCCACTGGTGTTTAGAGAAGCTGTGCTTGACTTTGAACTTAGCTCTAGTTGGAGGCTAAATACTTGAAACACAGGTACTTTCTCCCATCTGCGGACTAGATCGAGTGTAACTATTAGAAGACAAACTTCATTTTGCACACTGTAATTTAATGGTATAACAGTGTGCAGAACAGAATATCAGTTAATTTTCAAAACATTTTATTCTGCACCAATTAGCTCAGGTCCTGGAGGGCAAAATGACAAGAGGTTACTCGTTCACTATGTATTTAATTAATTGAAAAATGCTCAAATTGCTTTTACAGTTGTTATTAAAAAGTAGAATCAGTGTTGCCAGTGCTCAACCATAATTGGAACCCCAGGGAATTAAATATTTAGCATTAGTAATGTAACAGCACTTAGGACACAAATTTCTATTTTCGTAATGAAAGCTATACACTGTGAGTGCAGGCGGCTGAAACGACAGCTGTGACAAGTGAAACGGCCTGGGATATTTCAATAAGACACCTCATTGGACAGCAAGTCTTACCACATTACCCGTTTGTAAGAGATCTGCAAGTTTAATTCCCAATAGAAACCCGTTACCCAAGTATTTAGATTCCTAATTGCATGCGGGATGAACAGTTGGACAAATGTCTTGCCATAAGTGGCTAAAACATATAGTGCTTTCTAAATAATCCTATATAAGTTCATGCCTTTGTCAATTTAAAAAGAGCAGGACTATCGGGGAATAAAGATCTTGTTTGTTTTAAGTTTGATTACATTTTAAGCATACAAGCGTTCAGTGCTACAATGAGAAAAGTTGGATATTGGGCTCTAATGAGCTGCAGTGGTAGACGGCTAGAGACCCTAAGGGATTCACTCCGTAAATTAACTGGATAAAAGTACTTGCTTAGGATATAGTTGATGGCTGAGCTGTTCTTAAAACCCAGTTATAGAGCTGTCTCTCACTCCTGTTTTCATTCTAAACAGGCCCTGTAGAGATTTTAACAGCCTCCTGTTACAACTGTTCAACTTGTCAAAATGTATTATATTACTCCACTAATAAATAGTATTAAAGGGTATTTGCCTTCATTTCTCCTTTTCAGAGGGGATCAGATTGAGAAACACAACTGGATTACATTGGCCTTATTTTTAATTTGTTTATGTCATCTAAAGTGGTATTGAAGGCCCGCGGTTTGAGTTTGCAAACATTACTTTCCTGGGGATGTAGTAAAACTTAGCAAAATATTATGTGTAATGAAAACAGTGAATGAAGACTATTTACTGTAGAATGTTTGTCCTTCAAGATGTATGGCTTTCACATTCTTAACCTACATCTGAAGGATTTGAAAACTCATCACTAAACTGACATTCTTTGAAGCATGACTAGACTAATTCCTTTGCCAGTCTTTCTAATTTTTCTCAGAAAAAAATAATTTCAATATTTTCATTTTCTTGCCTTTGTCCTTTTGTCTTTTTTAATAATTTACTCTAATTGACCATTTTAAAATCTATTTTTACACAATTTTTAAAATGCGCTTCCTTTAGGGCCAGCCCAATAGCTCAGTGAACTAAAGCACCTACTTAGGCAGGCATAGCCACCAGGGTTCAATACCTGGCATGCCCTGCCCCCAGAGCACACTGAGCCAGCAATTGAGACTGAATGTGGTGGTGTGCACTGTAATCCCAGTGCTTGGGAGCCTAAAACAGGAGGATCACTATGAGTCTGATCTGTGTAGTGAGACCCTGTAGTCCCTGTACTAAAAGATTCCTTTAAAAGAAAAATACAATTTATTTATATATTTGACCCTCTGCCCCTATCCAATCCTTGCTTGGCAGCTACCTTTGGTGATGGTTCAGAGTCTTTCTTTTCTGTGTGTATGACACATGTATACATATGGGCATATATTTACATATATATATATATATAAACATAATTGAGAGAATTCCATAGAAGTCTGTGACTTGCTTTTTTTCCCCAATTTATTGTAGAAATCTTGCTATATTGGTACTCCAGATCATCTTCAAACTTTTTAATGGCTATTATTCCATATCTTAAAGGTACAAAATTTATCTCTCTCTTGCCTATTGATGTCATTCATGGTTTTCCAGTTTTTGCTAGAGCAGATGATACTCTAGTGAACTTCTGTGTAATGGTTTGCATCAGTAGCACATGCAGGTGAGCATGTTTGTGCTTACGTGGTAATATGGCATGGAATCACCGTGATTGAATGACTACTCCACATAGGCATTATTCAAAACACTTTAGATATAGTAAATCATTCATCTTACAATGATGCAGAGGTAAAATGTATTGCTATCATCCCTATTTTCACATAAGGAAACTGAGATACACAGAGGCTAACCAAGGACACAGAGGAAACCGAGATTCCCCAAGGCCAGTGCCTTATTGTGAATAATCAGCAGCAAGACCTTTCCTCAAATCCTGCTTGGCACATCAGTGTCTATGATTTTAGTGAACATATTGCATCTAGAGAAATACTTTTTAAACTTCTAACTTACCTTTTTTATTAATGAGCTGAGTGTGATTTCACATGTTTAGTGCCATCAGATGTTTTCTGAGAATTGGGCTGTTCATGTCTTTTGCTCATTTTCCTTTATTATTGTCTTCTTGTCAGATTGCAAAAGATCTTTATCGATTATGGACTCTGGCTCTGTTGGACATACATTATCAAGTATTGTTTTCTTAGCCTATTGCCTTTGTTTTCACTTTATCTTATCTTAATGTTATTAACTTGTGCTTTATGAACAGACTAGGATTAACTGGGCTATAAGGAAGGCTTTCACCCTCAAAGATTACAGGTATGTTTTCAAGTTCTTGCAAGTTTTCAAAGTTTTACAAACCCTCATCGGGTATACTTATGAGTATGGTGTGAATAAGATCATGTCTTTCATTTCCACTAACATCTCAGGTATCCTCTTGTGAATTGTTCCATTCATTTTCCTCGATAGCCTGAAGAAAGCTGAGTCTAATGGCCATATTCTACCTATATGTGTCTCTAGGTGGCTGGGTCTTTGGGAATATTCCACTTATGGAATATTGATTTCTAATCCTGGAACATCACATATTTATCATTATAAAATTAAGTTTAATTCTTCTTGACTTTTCAGAACCATTATCAGGTACTTTTAAATTATAAAACTAATACATATTTGTAAGCTAACAAGTACACATAGTTTAGAAAGGTCTAAACTTGTGGGTAGAACAATGATCTTTCAGAGGTATCCTTGTCCCAGGTCACAGTACCTATGAATACGCTACACTTAAGTTGCAGATGGAGTGAAGATCACTAAGTGTCCCTGATTGTCGAGGTAGATCTCGTGTCCTTAAGTGTTCATCAGAGAGGGCGCAGAGTTAGTATGAGAGGGGTGGAACGTGAGAAAGACTCAACTCAGCCCTGCTGGCTTTCCACTCCAAGTGATGGAGCCATAAGACGGAAGTAAGGGTGGCCACGGGTGACTGAAAAAGGAAGGAAAAAGCAGAGCGCCACCTAGAGCTAGGTCTGGAAGCACGCGGAGCTCTGCCACCACCAGGATTCTGCCCAGGGAAGTGCAGTTCAGGCTTCCTACCTCTGGGCCTGTAAAACAGCAGCTCCTTGGACAGAAAAGAAGAAAAGTATAAAATTATGAACTATACAGTTATGAAAGGTAACAAAGTCAGTATATAAAAAAACCTCTTGGACACAGTTGAAACTGAATTAGGCAGATAATTTGTAGTATAAAAGCATTTATTGGGCCAGGAACGCAGCTCAGGGGCATAGCACCTGCCTGGGAAGTACAAGGTCCTGAGTTCAATTCCAGGTACCAAAAATAAATAAAATATAAAATAGTATTTATTGAAAAATCATGAGAGATGACCAAAATAACCTAGGTATTCAGTAAAAAGGGCCAATCATATAAACTACAGCAAAATGAAAGTAAGAAATAGAATGTGCAGAACTCCAGACATACTACCCAAATTGTGGAACCTAGGAATAGAAACAGCGGAACCCAGAAAGTAAGTCTTAAGTCAGTCAGTCAGTCAGTCAGTCAGTCAGTCTGTCTGTCTGTCTGTCTGTCTGTCTCTCTCTCTCTCTTCTTTCTCTCTCCCTCTCCTCCCCCTCATAGACACACACCTCCCCTCACCCATTGTGAAGCAGACTACAAAGCCAGAAGGGTCACTTCTCCCAACTTGTCCCTCTTTTCTCCTTCTCAATGGCAGGTCCCAGAAATAAGGAATATTGTAAAGCTATGCCGAGATGAATCTGAATGCAGGCCTCACAGTGTGCCTCAGTTTATTACAGGAGATCTTCCAATTCATAATTGGGCACAGCTGTCCATTTTTTATCAACCTGAAACATAAAAGTACACAGGTTGCTTTGACTCTTCAGTTTCAAAAGCCCTGTCACATAAAACTGTGATTAAATACATTTGTATGCCTTTTTTCTTACTAGTTTCTCTGTTATAATGGTCTTAGCCAGGAACCATATGATGAATGAGGAAAATTTTTTTAAAAAGCACCTCAGTGATTAATGTTTTGGGGAGAGGGTGAGGAAGAGAGGGATTTTCCTCCCCTAAAAAATATACCCTAGAAAATGGATCTATATGATTTCTATTTGAATAATACAATGACATTTCCTATGCAAGTTGAACACTTGAGTTTTATAACCATTGCATGCCTGTTTAAACAGAATATGTGTTCTCTGTTTAGGAAAGTATCTTAGAAGGATTTTTTTTTTTTTTTTGCCGGCTTAGGCTGCCTTAAGGGTAAGTCTGGTAAGGTATGGGGAGCTAGGGATCAAACCACAGTCCCCTGCACCTGACTGGGTTTGCCCCAGCAGGCAATTAAACAACTGAGCTAATGTGCAAGCCCCCCAGGAAAGTATCTTAGGTCTCATTAAAAAAAAAAAAAGTTTCTACCCCTTTGAAATGTGCTGTTGTGCTGCCTGTATACAGTGAATAGGTACTCAGTAAGTACCCCACGTAGAGGACGGGTCTGTCCCACAGCACAGACTCAGGAATGGAGACTCAGGCATGTGCTGACTGGCCCAGGAAGCAGACGAAACAGTAGCCTCCTAATGAGTTCGTTGGGTGTATTTTTGTTTGTTTTTGTCTTAACCCATGTCAGATAAAGGGAACTAATGAGACTAAATTTCTTAATTACCTGTCATTAGTGTAGTGCGAATAGCATACATTCCCAGGAAAGGAGCCATGTAGAGGCTGGGTGAAGCACTTTGATTGATCGTGTCTTTATTGACCACTTACTAAGTGCAAGTCACATGGATTTGAGATGTCTTGCTTCCATACTTCCTGGGTAACATGCAGTATCTTATTTAATTCGCATAAGGGGTTGCTTGTTTCTATTACTCCTGTTTTTTTATGGGTGAGTAAACTGATGCTCAGAGGAGATCAGTAGTCAATTGTGTTTCTGGGATTTGTGGTTGAGAAGTAGGCCTTGGACCAGTCTGTGACACCAAAGCTGCTGTACAGTTACATGCTACTATTTCTTCCTCTACCTTTCAGCATCACAAACCATTGTGAGAGCCATAGCATCTCAGAGAAGGACAAGATCACTGAGTTCACCCGTCGGCTCAGTGCCTGTGGACACGAGGAGAGAGGCTCAGCCTAATAGTTCCAGCCACAAGCATTTGCTGTGTAAGTGCTGTCATTTTGTCATGGATCCCTTGCAGGAAGTAAGTCTGCAGCTTATCACAGCAAAGAGGGGCATGATGGCCCCAAATCATTGTTGACAAGAGCACATGTCCCTTTGTCCCAAGGTAAAGGATGCTCTACTCAGAAGTAAGTTGGGTAAATTCAGTGCTTAGTCCCTACAAAAAGACAACTACTGACATATATTTCCACCTGATTTAAATTATTTGAAGATACCTAACATCCTGGGGTCAGCTTTTCAAATCCTCTGCCCCTGTTTTGTGTTACATAGACCTCTACTGCCCAAGTTTGTAGACGTGAACCACATAGAATAAAAACAGTAGGGTGTGATTCTAGGGTGTAAATTAACTCATGGTCGACTTGTGACACCCAGCTGAACTGAATTAGTGTGGTGCTGAGTGTGCAAGGCCCACCTGAGGGTTGTTGCCAGCAGTATAGGAGAAGAACTTGGAGGAGTAGATGGGGTCATGTTGATTCTCCTGGAGAAGCTTGTCACCGTGGTTTTCCTAAGAACTCCGCTGTTCACATTGTTGGAGGATTCCCAGTTCTCCCTGTCACTGGGGATGGCTGTGGTTCTTCTTGGGAAAGCTCTGGTCCTTATCTTGAGTGATACTTGCTGGCTCCAGTGCAGATCCCTGAGCCTTCTGGCACGGATCCTTTATCCTGCTGGTGCAGACTTTCTAGCTTCTTCCACTGACCTTTGGGCCTTCCCAGTACAGATCCTTTTTCTCCCCCCAGTGCAGCTCCTTGAAGCAGACTTGCATGAGTCAGTGTCCTGGGATCTAGGCCTCCAGCTGGACTCATGCGGGCATTGCCATGGGATCCAGGCCTCAGCTGAATTCTTTGGGTCTCTAGCACGTAGACAGATTTCCTAGGCTTTTGCATTTGACAATATGGTGAATAGTATAAAATAATCCTACAAATTATGTATCCTATAGTAAATCTTCCCTTGTAAATCCTGATTCAACATGGATTTAAGTATAATGTACATATCAACTCAAATCACAAGACATTTTTCTCTTCCCTTCCCCATCAACTTGCATGGTTCTTGAGGTTTGGAAAGATTGTAGAGCAGAAGGAATCCACTGAGGTAAATCCATCTCATATCCTGGGGACCTTTACACACTGCTACCTGTGGCCCCGTGTGTTAAGTCACTGAACTCTTCTGCTTGCTGACACGCCCAATGAGCCCTCACCTCCTACTAAATATGTTTAGACCTCAAGACAACTTGGTGGGCTGTGGAGGGAAGGAAATGGGAGAGGTAGGTCTCCACTCAGCTGTCTGTACTCACTTTCCACCTGGGAGTTTTCTGGTTATTAGAGCCAGGCAGGAAACCAAAGCACAGAGGAGCTTGAAGAATTTCTTGGGAAAGCCTGATATTTGAATGAGAGGTTGCATTCTCCCAGAAGCAACAGTTTTAAAAGCATAACTAGATATAAATATGATTTCATATTGGAACAGCCATATAGATGAGGAAGTTGGTATATTGAATGCCTAAAGAAGGGCCATTACTCTGGACTGTATCCCCATCTTTTATTTTGGGACAGGGTCTTGCTGAATTGGTACATTGTCAGTACCAATGTACTTTTGAACCCAGAGTACTGAGATAATAGACCTCTGGCATTTGCTTTTTTTTCTTTTTTCTTTCCTATTAGAATTTCTAGAACTAAAAATGGCCTTTAAAGTATTCTAGACAGTTTAAAAAAAAACAAAAAACAAAAAACAACATAATCCTTCTTTTACCTCTATGGGGAATTTTCCCAGAGGATCTGAAAACATCATATCATAGGGATATAGGTGTGCCTATGTTTATAGCAGCACAATTTGTGATAGCCAAATTTTGGAAACAACTAAAATGCCCATCACCTGAGGAATGGTTGAAAAAGATGTGGTATGTTTATACAATGGAGTATTACTCAGCTATAAAGAATGATAAAATTGCAGCCTTTATATTGAAGTGGATGCCACTTGAAGATATACTCATAAGTGAAATAAACCAGACACACATGTGTAAATATCGTATAGTTTCCCTAGTATAAAACTCAAAAGAAGAAATACAAATAGAAAGGTATAATACAAGTAAAAGGAAAGCAGGAACTCGAGGACTAACTAATTAAGAGAGGGAAAGGAGAA